CCATTATACACTTCAAAAACTGAATCCTGTTCTCCAAAAATATTAAAAGAGCAAATGTTAATGGTCTGATTTTGTCTTCCATTGTGTAGCACATACACTAAATCCCTTGGAAAATCATTTTCTGAGACTTTGCATTCACAATTTTAAAGTGTTTTATGCTGCATAATGTAAACAAGACCTTATCATTTTTGCATGAACCAGGTAATTAGTACTTCGAACATACATGTAAGAAAAAAACATAATATATAACAGACATAACTCCAAAGTTTGTTGTACAGCAAATCTAAAGAAAAAGATACTTCCTAATGTCTAGAAAAAAAAAAAAAAGTTATGTTTTAACAGTACAGTGCTCACACAAACTGCAGTATTTGTAAATTAAATATTGATTCATATCCACCGACCACAAGACAAAACAGTACAGGGTTTTCTTTCACCCGGACTTTCTGTAACATACGCAGCCATGTCCCAGAAGCGGATTCTTCAGCTGTCTGTACTTCTACCTTTCAGGACACTTTCAGTGGTGAATTAAAAGCTTTCTGAGAAGCCCAAGTTTTTCCCAACACTATGCAAGCTCTCCATCACTAAAGTGCCTTAGATATGTCTACTTCCTGGGTCTACACATCATGAAAGTTTAATGGTACAAATAACACTCCAATTAAGCTCAGGGGTTAATAAAACATCTTTTTGGCTCACTTAGCTGCTCCAGCAGGAGACTCTGCCCGTATGAGATTTGAACCATCCCCAGGAAGATCTCCTCTCCACTGATGAAATAAGGAACCTAGGGCAATCAGCTTGCTAATTTAGATATGTCAGCCAAGTGCCTAAAGTTGAATGAATCCAAGCAAAGTGCCTATCAGTTAGGCACTGTGTGTCTGACCCTTGAGACATCCAAGTTCCTTTACACAACCCACAGTGGTTACACTAATTACATGGATGTCTAAATATAGCACTCAGAATAAAATAAACTGAGTTGTAAAATGAGTTTTCAGAGAAGAAATAAACGTATCCCACTGTCACTGTGATACCGCAATGCTATTAAGAGGAGGAAAACCAAGTCCCACAAACCCACAAATCTTCACGCAAGTAGCTTCTTTATGCACCACACACGAAGTTTGCTCAGTCTTTTATAACTGGTGCCTTGTAAAGTCCCCTAGTTCCAGTACCTGAAGTATCCTGGAAAAGAGATTCTGTGGCCTTTTCATAGAAACACTTGGGAAACTGGAAGACTATGAAGATGCAGATAGCCCTGCCCACTCGGACACAAAGACTTCCTAGCACAGTATTCTGCTCTCCAACAGTGGCCACAAGCAGATGTTCAAGAAAGGGTAAGACCAGGGAAGTATAAATAGCACTCTCTTGACTATTTCCCAGCATCTATTTTTAAACCATGACATCTCCTCCCATGGAGGACTTCTCCAAGTACTTCTCCATGTCTCCCCTTGGACCTTTTTGCATTTACCATCTCTTTTGACAAAGAGTTTCACAGATCTACCACCTGCTGCAGTAACAGCAATCTTTTTGCACTCTCCAGCTGTCTCCTGATAACCTCACTGGCTGGCCCTTTAGTCTTGGCTGGAAGAGACCATCATCTCCTCCCCCCCAAATCACTCACAGCTTAAGAGTCACAACTGTCCACATGTAAAGAGTGCTTACTTACCAAATCGTTCCCCAAAGGGAACCTATTCCAGCCTCAAAGATCCTCGTAAGAAAAAACTCTATGCATACAAAGGAATTTTTCTGTGTATTGCAATTGGATTATAATTAAATGTGATACAAATACAGAAATGAATTTTATATTCACCAGCCATAGAAACACAATTAAAAACCCTACTGTATATCTTTTTCAATTAAATAAAACCCAAGGCTTTATCCACCTCTCATTTTAACTAGTATTTATAAAGATTTTTAGTCTTCAAAAATCTGGTTTCTAAAGACCTGATGTATTTTTCAGAAACAAAATTAATACAAGAATTAATAGCTTAAAACCCTACACAAGCACTTTCCAGTTCAAAATATGATGTGGAAAACAAGCACATCTCTACAAGCTAAGTAGAACTTTTAACTGTGGAAATTGGTTATTCAAATCTAAGTGTTCCTGCTCCGGCAGGGGGATTGGACTAGATGATCTTTCGAGGTCCCTTCCGATCTCTAACATTCTGTGATTCTGTGAAATGAGAAAAATCCCCAGTTCACATTCATTACCAGAATTCACTTCAATTGGCAAACAAATCTACTGTTCCAGTACATCCAGAAGACAGTACAGGCCATAAGACCAAAAAAATCTTAGTCATTGGATGACGAAAAGGTTCCTTCAGATTCTCCACAGTTCCAAATGGTAACAGAGGTTGCCAAGAAGCCAGAGGAGCCCACAGCTGGCAACAGCAACCACAGACATCTGACTTCATGTAATTCCAGGAACAAAGCTTGGTCAAAAACAGTCAAGTAGCCAAGAGTGTCACAAGAAAGTGGTTCCTATAGAGAACACTAGCTGATTTACTACAATCTCAGATGAAAAGCACTAGTTTCAAACGCCAAATATCTGTGGAAATGGACCTCAATGAAACAAAAAGTGAACAAACAAACACAGGTCCCTCTGATATAGCAACACATCTGAAGCCTAAATGTCCTCAGATACACCCACATCCACCATACAGATTGTTCAAATGGATGACCACGCAGACAATGGAAGTCCTTCACCAAGGGTTGCAGGGTCCTTTGTCTCCACGCACAACCCCAGCACCCAGCATTGACACTAAACACATCGCTGAGTAGCCAATACAGCTCCTGCATAATAAGCTGGTCAGTATTTCAACAGCAGAATTCTTTTGAAAAATATAAAATTTCTTTCCAACTAAAATAATTACATTTGGTTTAGTTCATTCTTGTTAGAAATGGACAATACATAAACAAAATTTTTCATTCTTTAAAACATCTACATTTGAAATAGAACATTTGCTACAAAATTGACACTGTCATTAAAAAGCTTTCTAGACTACATTCGTCAATTTTCACTCCCACTTGAAGACATTTCACATTTCATTTACAAATCAAATGAAACACTCCTGAAATGTCCCAAAAAAAAAAAAAAAATCCTGATTTTTCTTACAACCTTAATGAAGTACCCAATCCTTTGTAGTGGTGACAGCAGCACATCAGTTGACAGTCCCAAGGCTTCAGAGAGCACAGGCATGTTTTCTGTATCAACGCATCCTCCTGATGCACACTCCTTACACTGCTGTAGCTAATGCTGCTTTGTCTTTTCCCTCAGAAAATTCTTTAATACTACTGCAAAATCAATATCATAGGAAGACTAGAGTGTTTTAATTTTTTAGTCTTTCTATTCACCTGCCGGACTACTGTCCCTAACCTTCCATTTTTCAGAAAAAAAAATAAAATTCACTCCTTCAGCTTAAAGACGCTAGTAGCACATGCTTAAACTTATGTTCTGATGAACTCAGAACAAAGATACCTATGTTCATATGCAAATCAAATTTTCAAATTGCAAATTATTCCCTATAGTATTACTACAGAATAACTAAAGTTTTCAAGCCATTTTTCATATTAACTCAACAATTTTACTACAAGTATTTGATGAAAAAATACAATTTTACTTGTGACTATTCCTCTGTTCTGTCCCAAAGAGATCCAAACTGGAACATACTCATTTCCGATGAGATTTTTTTAAAAAGACATACTACAGCATAATGATAACCCATGAAGCACGCTGAGTTGAAAGACCATATGTTGCAATTGTGAAAGATATTCTGAAGCAGATACAGCCACTACTGCCTGCTGCTACCTGGCATCCTCAGTAAACTACCTGAAGCAATGATTGGAGTCCCACTGTTTGTCCTTTATATTCAATGGAATTTTTTTAATTATTTTTTTCCTCCTAAATTTTTGGCACCTGTCAGTCTGTAACTTCCTTTATGAAATCACCGTTATGTACCTGAAGCCAGGTATGAAAGGATACACAGAAAGTCTGATGCAGATACCATGTTTAACACATATGCACATTTCTCCAGGAGAACACTGCCTGTAACCCATCATTTAAAGATGACAAGAAACAAATGCCACAACATTCTTATAAAAAATTCATGCAACAACCTCATCTAGCAACATCAATTACTTTATCTATCTCCTACACTGTTAGCTGTAAGACTAATAAAGCTACTCAGCAGGCAAGGGATTTAATGAAATAGACCCCGAGTTCCTGGGAGGATCACCTGTGGTTCCAACTCTAACACTTCTGATCAAATACAAGCTCTCTTCCTGCTGCTCAGCAACAGGCTTTACTGGATCTTGATCAAACATGCTCCAAAGGAGGGAGGATGTAATAATATGGTGTAAAGTATTCAAGTGTGTAGGAGTACAGTTGAGTGTGGTGAAAGGAAGAAGGAGAAGAAACGATTTAAAAAATAATAGGAACTGACAGCTTTTACATTTAGGTCACTTGAGCAGCAAAGCAAGTTCGCAGCAATTCTTTCAATAAGCAACAATACAATTAAGCATATGTACTAATCACCATTAATAAACCACATAAACCAGTATTAAAAAATACTGTCTTGCACTGTTACAGGTTCCCAGGTTCCACAAATACTTTCAAATTCTGTTCCCTAAGGCTTAGGCATCAAGATACAAACATTACAAAACAAACATCTCCCAGTGGCTATCTAATGAAAGTAAAGACCAAAATAAACAGCATCAAAAAAACCCCAACCCACTTATCAGTGAAAGGTCTCAAGTTCTCTTCCCATTGCCTAACAAATTTCAGTACTGTCTGCTACCTGCTCCTTTCAGTGCAAGACTGGAGAGGGGACAATTTGGCTTCCCTTCTCTGCAAGGAAGAGATGAAAAATTCCTTACTTATTGATCCTTCTAAAATAACCCAAACATTCCTTACCTTTAAATCTAGTGCATTCCAGCCTTAAATGTCCTTTAAAAAAGCTGACTTAATCTCCCATCTCTGGGTGAACTTCATGTTCTGGGGTAAACCTTACCTAATTTTGGCAGGGAATAGGGCACTTTAAAATAATCTTCATAAAATTCAATAAGTCTTCTCGTAATATTTAGAGCATAGTCCCCCGATCCTCTTCGGATTGCATCAGGTCTTGCATATAACCGTATCTGTGAAAAAACAAAGCAAAAGACTTATCATTTCAGCATCTACATTTTAAAGCTATCCTACCTGCAGAGGTGAACTATTCTAAGGTTGTTGTGAGATGGCAGGATTATTCTCTTAAAGCCAAAGCCGACTGTCATACATTTGTCAAAACATGTCATAGCTGAAAGCCAGAACTTCCACAATCAAGGTTACAAAGTTGAGAAGTCACAGTCTCCTACTTGTGTTGCCAAACAAAAGACCTAACACTCTTTGCATCAAAATAAATATTCAAAGAAAAACACTTATATGTGCTTGCTAGAGATATGATGGGAGAGTGGATTAGTATAATGGTTCTCTGCCCACATTGAATGTAGGCAGGATGCAGTGGCTCAGTAGGAGAGAAGTTCATGGTTTATTAAAGGCACATTATATAGAGTCCTGAAAGTATTAATAGACTGTGGAGAAAAAAAAAAAATAACCGTTCTCTTTTCTTTTCTCTGGCAGCGACACAGTTACAAACCTTGATGAGCTATGGAAGACTGCAAAAACAACCATTTATAAGCTCATTCATGTACACAAACAATTAACATTCCTGAAACCTCCACGACCGCTTCAGGCCTCTGTTTTCAGAAAGCAATAAGTTAAAGCTGTTTATACAAGCCACAGACTGCTGTCTTCAGTATAAAATAGCTCACACATCTGACTACGGGGAGCACCAAAGTGAACAGAACTCACCTTCATAATTCAGCATGCAAATGCAACCAGCTTCCCTCCCGATCAAGGAGGCAGCGGAAAGCACTGCCAGCTTATTTATCCCTGTCCTTACAGTCCTTAATGTTTCCTTAGTGCAAAGATGACATACAGCCAATGAGAACTGTTAACGATGAAAGGGATAGAAAAGAGAGCCACTTTTTGCTCTCCCTCCTCATCCTCGCTCTGATGAACGTGGCCACTGGGAAGCAGTGTGTGCTTTGTGGCTGCAGCAGAAGGTATCTCCCTGCAGTCCACAATGACCTGACAAACAAGACTCTACTAAATGTCAGTCCCAATAACCTCTGATTCGCTAATACTTTCTGTGGTAGGATTAAATCCCAGACAGGGTTCTGAGGAAAGCAGCAGGGCAGAAATGAGAAAATATCAATGTAAACGTGAAGCAGAAATATCAGTTTTGAAATGTTTCTAAATGCTCTGCTCTGGACCAAGAAAACCCAATGGGATTTTCAGCTTCACTGAAAGCACTACCAAGCACTGCTTTACTCCTCTTTTCCTGAATCACATTCAGTTACTCAAGTGGAAACCAGCTATCAAACCTCAGTACACTATACCTGGCAATTCTGTTTTAACCCACTCTCTCTTTGTTTTCACAATTCAGACACATTATTCTGCTTTTTTACTACATCCATCTTCATCTTTTTTCTTTCTGTTGTATTACAGACACAGTGCACAATCAGCCATACATAGTTGTCATTTGTAATGTAAAACAGACAACAGTGTAACCTAATGAGACATGTAATAAAGCAGACTTCTCATAAACACCACCTGAAAGCATATAAACTATTATCTGAACACCTCCAAGTCACTATTTTTGTTTATTGCTTCCTTCCACAGTTAAGTGACCTGTACATTAAATGTTCCCTTATCTGCTAAACTAAATATATTTTTTAACAAAATATATATTAACCACACAGATCCTAATTCAGACATTTGAAAACCTTTAGTTTATGGAAGGATGGTAAGAATCACAATTAGATTTGTGATGAACACTGCTTTGTATCATTAAACCTTTATACATAATTTTGCATAATTGATTTACTGGCACAGTTGACTGTATCAGCAAATTAGGGAAAAAAAAAAGTCAGCCAACCAAGTATGCAAAAAATCATTCAGTTTGACAGTGGCCAAATGTGTCCATAATAAGCAATAGGAGAACAGAAGAGAAGAAAAAAACAGGTACACGTGAAAAAAAAAAAAAAATCAAGGTTCAACTTACTGCATTACAATGTATGTCTTTTGGCAAATGCAGAAAAGGCATTTAGTGATGTCTGAGATGGAGTCCAAGAACCAAAGCTCAAAAACCGCAATGCTACAAACTTTAATTTGCCACCTGCCTAGTGCCGAATAGAGTTTTATTTTGCCTGTGAAGTTTCTCTGGGTGCATCTCTCCCTGTCCAGAACAGCTCTGGACTGCCACGGCTGCATGGCTCACACCGAGGTCACCCCTAAGCTGGAATAGTTCAGAAATTACCCGTGCCTTTGCCCAGGTCTCCCTGGCTTTGAGGCAACAGGCATTGCTGAAGCATGCCAGCCATCTTCAAATGCTGGGTCTGCTTCTGCCTTTCACCCAACAACCACTGAATGTGAAATGTATGGAGGAACCTTAGAGGCATAATCGCAGACTTACCCCTGGCCTCAGCAAATTCCCTCTTGGTTAGCAGAGGGCTACCACAAGGGACAGTCTGTGACACTCTGCCTACCTGTCTGGCTGTTTTGGATTATACCTTCTTAGGTGCCACTCATGATATGAGGAGCTGGGTCCAGAGTTCAGTCTAAAGGATGGCACCTATGAGCTAGAAATCAAAGTCCCTAATTTTCACATACTGATGCCCTTTAATGTGTATGGGCTTATGCTGACCATGTTTTACCTCCAAATCAAAAAAGTGGGGATTATATTATTCCCTTATCTTATATGAACATTCTGAGTATTAAGTAAAAAAAGACTGTAAAGTTTTTCTATATTACCTATTTTCTATATTAAGTAAATAAAACAGAATGAAGATTAAGACATGAGATTTGTTTAGCATAATGTCAATGTCAAGTATACTTAACAGTTTTATTGCACACACTTACAGCACTGTTCCCATTACATCTTATTGCAGTGGTGAAGACTGTATACAGCTTTGACTCTGGTCACAGGTGCCTCAGTTTGGGTATTAAGGAAATTAGTAACACATGATTAGTGACTAAATGAGACGGTGTCAGTCTATGTGATTTGCTTGGCATCTCATGGCAACTCTGGTGGCAGACGCAGCGAGGGAATTCAAAGATGGCATTCAGCCTCGTGGCCACCTGACAGCCTGCACTAAGCATCTTCCAAGTCTGTGAGTTACGAAGGTAGAGACCCTTCAGACAACAAGCATATTCACAGCACACCGGTGTTGTCCTGATGCAGCATAGTTCTCAGCATAAATGACAAAAATACCAGAAAAATATTATGAGGGATCATATTAGTAATGACACTGTCATAATACCTATGAAGATAACAAAGTTCACACAGTCAACCCAAATTCTGGGGTTTTTTTCTTAACTCCTTTGCACCCACATTTGCAACCCCTACCAATCTTTCAACGAAAGTTTTGACTACTAAGAAAATAAAAACCCAAACCTCTAATTTCTCTCTCAAATGGAACCAGACTGACTGCCTCCTTCTTACCACAAGTTTGAGTAACCAAGCTTGCACCTTCAGCCCTACAACCCAGCCCTCCACTTTGACATTTATAAGACACTGTTGTTCTTACACCACACAGCCACTGATGGAGGAGACCAGACGCGTCTCACTGGAAATAATTTTCACTTTTGTAAACAGCAGAGCAAGAAGTTATTATAGATCCTAAATGAAATTGCTGCAATGTATTTTTTCTTATTCTTTTCTAAAGTGAGAAAAAATGTGAGTTGTTTCCCCTTGTTTCCTTTCCAGAAGCCCTGGACTATTTTCATTAGAACTTTAAATAAAGACAATACAACAGCCACGCTCAGATAGTACAACAGAAAAACTTAATCCTGAAGGATTAATTTAAAAATATTAGTAACCTAACTCAAGTTCTCAAAATTACTTTGTCAGCATTATCGGAAAAAATACTAAAATATTCCTGAAACTTGTATGGTATTTGTTATAAGTGATCAATAATCTAGTTCTCTATAGTTAGTCAAAAGTATTTGTTGCACTAAAAGTGTACTTTCAAAAATAATTTGTACATATTCAACATTTTCTGTAGTCTCTCCTAATATTTCAGCACTTGTTACATAAAATAAGTCAAAGTAATTTAAAAATATTTTTAATACCAGGTTGCCAGAACAGTTCAATGTGATTGTAAATGTGAGCTGTTTCCCACAGTGAGGGACAGTTGTGATATATGCCAAGAAACGTGCAACAGATTTAGAACAAATCACATCTAACTAAAGTCAGATTATTAACCACTATGCATGAGAAAATCTTCCTGTCTACAGCAGATAAAAATTATTAATCAAAAAGAAAGTTATCACTTAACAAGAAAAAAATTCTGCATCAGGATGTTTTCAAGATGCAGAGGAACTATTTTCCTTATAGCACATGGCATGTAAACAGAAGATCCCGTCAGTGGTCCTGCTTCTCATGATCTGAACTATCAGTGGTCAAAATTCTTGACTTATTACTTCAGAGTGTTTAAAAAAAAATGTGAATTAGTAACTATATACAAGGTACAATGGGTAAATTCTGACAAGTACAAACCATAAATAGCAATGAACATCATAATTTCTGGTGAATAGTATGTTCATTGAAAATGTTTCCATTGTACCAAAGACCAGTGATAATTTCAGCATATGGTAAACAGAGGAATGAGTTCAGAAAAAGTAGAACTCATTTTGACATTTGACATTGCTCTGTTTTGACATTTTAAAATCACTAATTTTTTTTTTCTTTCTTTTCCATTAAAATTGAAGTACATTTAAAAAAAAAAGGATGAAAGGGATTAAGAACGGCAAGGAAAAACCTGCAGTCATTTTTTCACTTTCTGTGAAATATTTCAGGTAAAACTGAAGGCTTTGTTTAGTTTTGCTTTGCAGGTGGGAAGAATATGGAATACATTCAGCATTTTGACCACAGAAGTAAAAATCCATTACTTACACATGTCTAATTGCAAGAAGACTGCTGTCCGACCTTCTCCCTCTGCAGGAATTCACCAAAGATGAAGGAAGACAAGAGAAAACCACAGTGTGTTCTCCCTCTGGCATTAGAGGAAGACACTAATAACCTTTGCTAGAGGTG